AGTTCTGAACGGAAGAGAAGGAAGAGAGAGCCTCTCGAATCCACTGAACACTGTCCGATTTCAGCTGAATGTTGGTCGTCTATCGTTGGACGACAAAAAGTCTTCAAAAAGCCTTGATTCAACAACCAAGGAAAGTTCTCCTTCTCCGGTATCGCCCTTGAAACCTTCCTTTCGTGAGTTCTGTTTTTTTACTTGTATTACAAAGTTGTGCATTATATAGAGGCTTCTATTACAGTACGCCGTCCTCGGCCTGTCAGCGGCAGGAGTTCTCTGATTGGTGCTGCGAAGAAGGCTTACGAGAGGAGCGCCGCGGAGTGCGGTTCAGTTTGAGGTAGCTTAGATTCTTTGAAGGTTGTTTTTGCGAACCTTACAAACACATTTTTTTTCCTGATAGCTAACCCTCCTTCCATAGTTCTCCCGGCTACATATTAAGGTTTTCTGTTTATTCACAATTTTAGTAGCAAAATGGACGTTCGTCACACCCGCCACAAGCTGCCACAATATCGACACGATATGATCGAATGTGATCTGCTTTAATATAAGTATGATCATTTGTATTTGTATATACCCAGTAATAACTCGTTTTGATTTTTAGCTGTACTTTTCAACGCGTTTGTATTGTTCTGACCTCATATTATTGCTTTGGAAGCTTCAAGCCTCAAATGAAGAAGGTACTCCGACTTTTGACAGCGGTGGTGATGAGGTGATCAGGTTCATGGCAGAAATGTTACATAATTGACTGATGCAAAAGTTCTGAGAGCCTTGAATTCGTGTTTATTGGACAATTTTCAAATCGGCGCTATCGCAATATACAGGGACATCCTGCGAGACTAGCGTAGGAGTGGGTAGGAACTTCGGGAAAAAATTAACACCTCAAGCACCCTAGAGTCTTTCCACTTCCGCCTAAGGCAAAGTTTCCCGATTCAACGTAGGTTAAAGGAAGCGATCACGCTGGCTTCCACGTGGATCGCCGAACTCCGCGTTATCAACCGATAAGGTCGGAGATAGATAGTGGTTGGACGAGCGTAACCCTATGGAAGATACGATACGATTAGATAAGAAGATACGGCTGCTTGGAATGAGGTGCACTCCAGCATGAAAATCGAACGATAACGATAACCGTATCATATCTAGCACGCTGCTGTTGCATCCCTTCCACATCTGATGAGGAGGTCCTTAGAGTCACGCCGTTGATAAGGCGCCACTGCCCCTGAAGCGTCACCTGTCGTCCCATTGGGTAGGACCCCTACCCAATCCACTATGTCACTTTCCCTATCGTCTCCATAGGAATTTCCGTGACCTCTTCCTTCAACAAAAGGTGACGTTTCACGCGGTTTCTAAGGCTGGGTCACCACAACGCCCCGTATCTTGCGATAGCGCCTCTGGATCCATTCAAGCAAGATGCATTCGACGCCAGTAGTTGTGAGGTAATCAGAATCAGCAGAAGTTCTTAATCAAGGAACTCTTTGAACAGATGTTAATTATCAAGGGTCAGGTTGATGGAGTTTATCCACGGTGACGAAAATTACGGAATTACCCTGACGACGGAAGATTTTGCCTCGGGATTATAGTGTGTGGTACGAGCTTAACGAGGTCGTAGAAGGATGGTAGACCATCACGAATATGAAACGCTGGTTAGGAGCGGTCTAGCACAGCCAGAGAACTTTCTCTAAGCTCATAAGCGAATCGATTAAGGATGCTGTGTGGCAGCTTAAGTGAGTATTGTAGGTCTCGCTGAGCTCGACGGTGATGGCAGGTAGCGTTATACTCTGGAAGCCGGTGAGGGCGGTGAACAGATTGTGCTTATGCTTATGGAAGGAATGTGTATTTTGTCGTAAAACTTCTATCGACAGCTGCACCCATGTCTCCCAACATCCTTCCAACGTAAGCTGTAAGAATAGGGGCAATCGTGACCATCATCCAGTATAGGCCATGCATCCGACCTTCACTCAAAGTTGCAGAATCGATTGAAAGGTGTTATATGATGATGACCTGTTGACAGAAACTGTATTGTAGTAAACACATTTCGTAACTCCTACAACCTAAGGAACAACTTCATTTGCCCAGGGCTTTTTCTTCACTGTTGCCGTTTTTGCCGCTACGTCCCTCACTGATGTGCTCGTTACTGACCTCCACGAGTGCGACCCCATGACTCACCTTAACAAATACGACCCCCCTCGTCGAGGTTTTCTTCGACTGATATTCACCCCTGGTCCCCACGTGTTGTGATTGTGTAAAGCGCAGGTGATCGTATTTTATTTTTTACGTGAATGTGGAAGTTGAGGAGTCGTGTAGGAGCGTAGGTAGAGAGTGGGGCCGCTGCTTGTTTTTTTTTCACCATTATCATAGAAAATTCACAACAAAAAATTCACTGACATGGCAAAATGAGAGCCATTCTTTCCGGCTTCATGGAGAACACATCAAAAGAAAGGAGATAGCGACCTCGGTCAATGCAAGGACCACTCCACACCTACCTCCCTCGCCGACAACTTGTGAGCTGACAGTGACCTTCGCGATGACAATCTGCCCGGCCAACCCCTAACGTTCAGGAGCTCGCTTAGCTATTCCGCTAGGCCTGCTAGCTCAAGAGACTGCCTGGAACTTAGGGCTTGCCGGAGAATTTCATGCAAAGTCACCCTGCCGAGGGAAGGATAGTGTGGAATGGGGTCTCGGATTGACGAAGCTTGGTTACGGCAAGTGCTCTAATTTGGTGCCAAAAATTCTGACGCCATTCCTGGTAGCAAACATCAAGGAGTAATATTAAAATACTTCTCATTGTTACAGGGCGCGCATAGAACATAATAAATACATAAGAAGCTGTTTAATTTAATATTGTAGATCGCCAAAGCGGCGAACTACATCACATGTAAGATATGAACGCAAATGCCATTTAATGGCAGTACATGCAAAAGAAAGGATAGAAAGAAGAGGAGATGAGACAGATGAAAGTGCTGGTGATGAATGTGAGTGGATGGCGTGAGTGTGCTGATGGTGGGCAAGATGTTAAAAGGTCTTCGTTGGTATTATTCTTGCGTGTCGCGACCGCCATGCGTTCGGCCAAGCCGCTTCTCGCCGTCGTTGGCGCGCGTCCCGCCGAGCGCGATATAAGGCACATCAATAAACATCAAGGGACGCGACTCGGATAAAGGAAACTCCACACGCAAAACAGGGAAGACGACATAACCGGGCATCTGATATGATAGATGATGAATGGCTAAAGCTCATCCAGAGTCACTGTAGCGACGTTAGACGAGGAGGAGAACAAGTCGCGGCGGGTGGAGCGGCACGAGAGCGTGGCGGCGTGACATGACAAGGCTGCTCAAGTAGGCTGATTCCGCAGGGTACTCTCAAGAGCCAGTATTATTTATATTTCCCTCTCCATCATTCCTACTCGAGGCTCCTTCAGTTTAGGCTGAAGTGGAGCGAATCTTAACGTTGGACTGCAAAACCTACAAAAAACTAGAGCTATTTTCCAACTATAACCGGGACTTGTGAAACAAGAGGCCGCCAAGTAAAGAGGGCATCAGGGCATTAAAAAATCAAAAAGTGTCCTGAATATAACAAAAAAGGAATGTTTGATAGACGACTACTTGTTATAGACATCACACTATGAGTGCAGTCTTTTTAGCGTGGGATGAAACATTCGCGCAGAAAAGGCGGGATGGTGACCAGACATCGATCGACCAAACGATGACGCGTCGCCACCGCACGCGTCCCTTCACGGATGTTCTCTGCACGTTCTGAGAAGACCGCAAATCGACAGCAAAAGAAAATACAATGACTAGTCAAGATGTATGTAATATAAACATGATACACATGATGAACATGATCAATAGATAGAAATGGGCGTGGTCATGGCCAATAAGGCGCATAGAGAATCAACTAATCAATACATATACATATGTAGTTTGCGCACGCGTGAGGCAAGCAGACGAAGAGAGGGAAACGCAGGGATGGGAGGTCCTTGCTGGAATATGAGGCATGGACCAGGAATACGGTGTACATGAGAGAATTTAGGCTCTCTATGGAAGAATATGATTCAGATCAATCGATGTGACGTGTATCAGGTAGAGAATGTGGAACAAGGACTGGATCGATGTGAAGAATTTCTGGGCAAACGGGAGGGAGCAGCCAGCAAAACACTAGTGGAAGAACTCATTGAGATTTTAATGAAATACGTCTGCTATCGGCTAGAGCTACCGTACCCGTAGTAGTCCCTTTAAAAGGCAGGGAACGTTTCCAACGTTCTACCAGAAGATCTAGAGCCTACGACCTTATCCTAGGCGATTAAGTAGTTGGTTTTCGTGGGCAGAGCTGGAGTTGATGCGTGACTTGGGAGGTTCTTACAAAGGCCCGGGGCCTAGATCTTCGTGACCACACTGGGTTTCCAAAGAGACTAGCACGGTAGTACTGAAGACTTTCAATAAACAAAATGTGGATTAACGAAAGAGAATCCGCGGAATTCTTCTTGATTGATCGACCGTACAACGGCCACGTCAGTCGGTGTCAATACCGGCTCCTCTTTGGTAAAGTCGGCGTCAAAGTTGTTCACATCACGTTTTGACTTCTGAAAATAACAAATTTGGTCGGAAATCGGAAGTCGGAATAACATGACGTCCACTAATAAGTCTCAGCTACTGTCATATCAAAACAACGGCACAAAAGTTAGCAATGAAAACCAACAGGCCATGAGAGCAAAACCAGTAGGCGCTTGTAGTTTACACTTGCCGTGTTAAGGTAGCGAAATTGAAATTAACCAGTAATCGAAACATACGAACACAAATCGAAACTGAAACTCACAATTCGGTTGAATGTGGTTTTTACCACGAACGCTTACTAAGGCGTCCCAAATCGATTTAAAACGAACGGATGCACAGAATGCATCCTCTCCGCCGAACTGCAGCACAAAAAACCAAGACGTTCGAAGATTTTTGCAAAATAACTGAAACCAGGCAGATATCAGAACGCGAACCGAATGTGTCGGGTAACAGAAGAAACTTCGGGAAAACAGCGATACAGATAGGTCAAATAGCGCGGACTATCGTAATGTAACACCTGAAAAAATACGGAGCTGGAAAACTGTCCCTGGGCAGGTGCAGCACGGCCCGGCCGAAAGGATCAACAAAACACCGGCGCCTACTCCAGATACGCCAAATTCTTAAGTTTAAGATAGGTGTCCCAGAACGTGCAAAATTTTGGGGACCATGCCCCACGTCTCCGTGCACTTCCCCTATTCGACCAGCATTGATCCATGAGGCTATTCGCTCTCGCCTTACTACTCAATCCATGACGGCTAATGAAGTCTAATACGATTACCCGCGCAACACCTAATGGCGCGCGACGTGGGTTACGACGTAGCGTGCTTAATTAAATGCTCACGGTGACTGAGCTGTGGGCGAGCAAACTCGTCCTGGGCACGCATCTTCACTCATTGAAGGGAGGGGGAAAAGCAGCTTAGACGTCATCAATCAAGTTTTCCTATATTTGAATGCACTTTCAGTCCGTAAAATGGCATCCATAATTAATCATCGACTGCTAACTCCCCAAATTGGTTGCCGGTTGTGCTTTAGAGATTAAAAAGGACCTCTCACGAAAAGCGCCGCCTCCAACACCAGAAAAACGATACCCAGTCCTAACCTCCAGATCACAAGCGAAAAGACACGGAAACAAAGCCGATAAGTTTCATAATACTCAATCCTCCACACACAGAACAACACAAGACAAATATCACCTATTTCCTGGAATATCCTCTGACGTATCGTTCTGGTAATCGAAGCGAGGTTTGTTGCTTTATAGATTAATACTTTAACTTACTGCTTTCAAAATGTTGACTGCTTCTTTCGACAACCACACCGGATAAAGCACGTCGTCGTTCAGGATCGCCTAAACATTCAATTTATATTTAAAACGAATACACATATTCATCTCCTGTTACGGAGTGACAGTTCGAACTCGACAATAAAGTAAACTAAGAGCGCTAAATTCAGCGCCTGCGGAGCTTTCGGGCCTTGTTAGCAGAGATAAGTTTATGGCTACAGTCTCATGTGCAGAATAGCACATATTTAAAGGACAAGGGTATGTTATGGAGTTCAAAAATAAAAGCCATATAGGCGTGACTTACGCTCCACATCTAAGTCAGTGTCATTGGTTGGCCACACCTCCTTACTGTACTTTACTGATTTTACCTTATCAAAAGCAATGACCATCGAGATTTCCGCAGGGGCCAGGCGTAAACCCTACCCAGATATCAGCGCGCACTGTGATTTTATCAGTCCTCGTTTTGGAGGATTCACGAAAAATAACAGAAAATGAAACAAGATAGCATAGCGACGAGAGAGACGCAGACGCTGAAGTAATTGTAGCGGGCACAAGTAACAATGCGTTTTTGAGTAGCGCCAGTGCAGTACCTATTGTTCAGCAATACTCGCGTACCTCAAAAAGATCATCTTCGTTGTCGGCTTCGAACGGCGGTTGGCCGGCCATCATCTCATACATCAACACCCCTAACGCCCACCAATCAACTGATACGCCGTACTCAAGCTCTTGAAGAATTTCCGGCGCAATGTAGTCAGGAGTGCCTGAAACAGTCATAATGAGCTTGTTGTGATAAGCTTGGTATGCTATAGGGACATAGCAATAAAGTCAAAATGTAAGGAAGAAAATGGGCGGAGAGGGGGCAGCGGTGTAGCGCAAATTGGCGCTGCTTAGTAGGTGTATGGCCCAGTGGTCAAATAATGAGGAATCTCTTCCACGCCACCCAGCCTTCCATCCCTCATGGATCGGTGAAATGTTATCTGATTCGTCTGGGAGGATTTCGAAAACCTATCGATCAATAAGGAATACTTTTAGTTCGAAGATCAAAGCAACAGCCCAAATGAGGTCGTGACGAACAAACTATTCCTTGGGTAGGATAGAGAAGGCCACAAGAACCACAGTCCTGTCTATTGCGGCTCGAAAAAGGGGCGATAATGACGCTAGGGCCTTACAAGTTGGGATAAGGAGAGACAATGTGAGCTATTGGACAAGTTACCTCCCCCATGACACGCAGCGTGGATTGCGACATAGTGGCTGATTCATACATGTGCAGTTGTGTATATGCGTTTAGTGGAGCCACGGAGCAAGCAGCTTTAGAAAACTCGTCCGGACACGCCCCACTCTCATTTAAAGGGAGAAAAGAGGAGGTCGTTGTTATGCGCTTCATCGGCGGTTTGCATGCTTCTTTTTTCAACTCGGGGCATCCACAATCATTAACTACCACGGTTATCCCGCTAACTTGATCTCGGATTGTTGGTATGAGAGCAAGGGAACCAGAAAATGTCCCAGGCCATGGGGTGAAAGTAAATTATGTATTATTGAGGACCCGGCGAACACCCCTAAATCCCCCAACCTAGAAATGTACCCTTTGGAAAAACTTCTCAAGAACAGCAAAAAAGGAAAGGGAAAAAAAGAAAGTGGGAAGGTAACTAGAAAACAGCCAAGCTAACGTACCGCAAAATGTGCTGGTCAGATTATCCTTGGTGATGCCTTCTTTACACATACCGAAATCGGCGAGCCGACAGTGTCCTTCGGCGTCCAGAAGAATATTATCCAATTTGAGATCTCTTAAATTATTTAAATTTGAAAAAACCTGCCAACATATAATCATACCACTCCATAGAATAAGTTTTGCTGCGGGTCTCTTCAAGGAATAACCCTAGGTCTCACAACCAACGCTTTCAGTAAAATTCGTAATGGCCCGCAGCCCGTCGAGGACCTCATTACAGCGAGAGATTACGATAGGTAATGTGAGCAAGTATGGAAGCACAAGCACCAGTGGAAGCAGTAGTCAGGAGCCTAAGGAAAGCGATGTGAACTTTTTGTGGCCAAAAGGTGCGCTAGTTGAGCCACCTCGAGGCTGCCGATACTCCCTGCGCTCTGCCTTTCCTGAGCTCCGCCTCCGCAGCCTGTGCCACCATATGCTTCATTTAGTTGGATATGAAATTGCTCTTCAGTTTTCATATCGGGATACTCGGTGGAAATGAGGCAGATCATTCCCGTAATCCATCAGTATAAAAGGAAGTTGATCTGTCATTTTTTGCTCCCCCCTCCGCCACCCAGTGTGTCAAATTACATCGCGTTGAATGCTTTGCCACCTCTGAACTGAATTTTTTTTTTCCGAAGAAATCAACTAATCTATACCTGTAGATGACTTCGTTACGGTGCAGAAATTGTAATGCACATGTGACTTCGGCCGCATAGAATCGAGCCCGTGGTTCGTCAAATTTACGTGCTCGTTGTATTTGGAACATCAAATCGCCACCGTTCACATACTCCATCACGAAGAACAAACGATCCTGAATGAAGTTAGATGACAACTACAACTCAAAGAATATTTGAATTGATAATTATGCTGGTTTATGGGCACTAAATACTACAACAGTTATGTTTAATAGCTGAGAATATGTACGAGTGAAAGTCAAAAAGGACTGAGGATCAACGGTGAATTAAGAAAAAACCTTCTCCGATCTTTCAGGAAAAAAGTGGGGGAGAAGACCATCAAATTTTCAACTTTTGAAAACGTACAGGTGTTTGAAAACTGCTGTGAAGGGCGGTGAGGAATGGATGTTTGGCGGCCAGGCTGAGAATCCGCTTCTCGCACATGGTGCACTCGACGTCGTCGTCCTGTACGATCACGTCCTTCTTGAGGATTTTGATGGCGTACACCTCATCCGAACCGCGTCGCTCAGCCAACATCACCTAAACAACGTAAAGTTAAACTACTTCCAATTACCCAATTTCCCCATTTTCTTTATCTTGGGATGCGCCATGCATCCAACTTCCATCCGCAATCGTATAAGCACTTGGACATACGGATTTTTTGAATAATGGATGAAGCTCTGTCAATTTTTATGCCATTACATTTTCGTTACTAACATAATTGGCTAATCAACAGACTAGAGTGAATGAAAGGCTAAACCGTGTTGTTGTTTGTTTAAAGATGCTATACATTCCATAAATATTTCTGTGAAGGGGAAATTTTGCAGTCACCAAAAAGGGCTCGCGCCGTTTCTAGCCAGTGCGAAAGAGTTTTGGCAACTCTATAAAGAAATCATTACAAACCTTGCCAAAAGATCCTTTGCCAAGAACTTTGATGAAAACAAAGTCCTGAATCGATAGCGTGCCACCGGGTGGCCGTGGTGATTTTGCCGGCTCCTCTTCAGATATTTGTGTCAAATATGCTAAAAGAAATATTTGAAAAGCAGAACTAATCACAGAATCGTACAGATCCACCTATATGGATCAAAAAGGTTAACACAAAATAATTAGGAATTCTAAGGGCTCAGCTGACCCTTTTGACCCCGCCTATTTCACGGGCCCCGCCCCGATCACGGTTAACAATCAACAAGCGAGCCGTAGAAGTAGTGCCAGAAGGAGCAAAATAGACTCTCTAGAAACAGTTCTACTTTTCAAATGAGACACACCTGATCCGGAGTCGGAGGTACCGGTACTCGTCTGATCTGTGCTCGTGTCGGTCATAATAGATGGCTAAAAAAGGGCTATGAGTGGAGTTGTTAGTTTCATCGATAAAATTTTTCAAGTTCATCCAAACAAGTGCAACTGATGCAGGCGTTTGCGCAGCGGTCGTTTCCATTGTGGGCATTAGTGAAGAGAGCTTGTGTTAAAAAGCTATGAAGCTTGTAGCTGACTCATGTTAGCCTATCCGCAAAACTTTACATTTCCAAAAAGGCACTATTCTGGACCGCCACGCGACAGCGCGCGTAAGTAGCCGGCGATATCTACAACCGCATCTATTCCGTTTACTTTGCTCTACTTCCTATTTTTCTAGGTATCATTTACTCATTAACTATTTTGTAATTGTCGAATCGTTACCTTCTTTTTACTGCGGATGCTCATCTTGTCACCGGTCAGGCCCAACTGCGCTAATTCGGCAGCCATCTGTTTGGCATTGATACCGCAAGTTATTGGCAACATTCCGCTGACACCTGGAAACAATGAAAATGAATGAATGGACCTGAAAAATAATAATAAAAAATATTGAAAAATTCGTTAAGGTAACAACATTCAGCATATTTAAGGCGTACGGTAGCCTTACCGTTTGTGCACGTTCAGCTTACAAACCGAACACTGCAGCCCTTGATTGATTAGGCCATAGAGCATTGAACCGCAATGATCGCAAAATGTCGGACGTTTGTAGGAATGGACCGAGAAACGATGGGGCATGTTGATGTTGAACCGCCCCATTCCAGTCTGAAGTGAGGAAATATTTAAAATGAGAAAAAAATGATTTAAAAAAAGAGAACAAAGGAAAATAAATGCTGTGAAAATTGATGGAGGAACTGTTCTGAATGAAAATCAAAACACATTTCCTCTCTAGGACCATGGCCGAAAATAAGAAAAAACAAAAGGTAGAGACGCAGAATCGTTTTGACTTATACTGGTATATGTGATAAATAATGGAAATTAATGACCAAGCATTAGGTTCGCTGGATATCACTACGGAAGTAGCCTGACCTCCAAAAAGGTTCACACATTACCTCCAGAGATGAGATCTGTATCCGGCTAGCAAGAGGGATTCATATTGCAAAAAAGCAAGGAACAGCGAAATGCTAGAGAGGCAGAGGGACCAATTTCTGTTTTAGTGTACGCAAATAACATGGGAAATACACATGTCTTGCTGGTATAAGCCGTTCATATCTGTTCCAGTTAGAGATTTGTAGTGTATGAGGGCGAAATCGTCCCATGCATTGAAGCGCGGTCGCAATCGATGTATATACTTAGAGTGCTCAAACCTCAGACAACTAGTTCGATGCCAAGGAGCGTATTCGTTAGTGATGAAATTTGGTGATGATGGACTGTCATGAGGCAGGACTTGAATCCTGGGAGAGTGCGCGGTGATAAACGAAGCTACTTGTCATTGCCCTCGCGTGGCTAGCAAACAACCAAGTTTCAGCTGAGGCTGCACAGATTTGATCTCAATGGAAACAGAACCGTCGCACGTCACTTGAGGGACTAATCTTACCTGGGCTAGAGAAGGAGAACTAGCTAGTGGAATGAGGCAGCGTGCCTGGGACAAGATCTTCACTCTGAAAGAACCCTATTTCAAGCTGAATCTGGGAAAATCATGTGCTTCCTTTGATAAGGAAACCAACTCAGCAAAAAAGTTTCAAAAATCAAAAAGCCAAGGATTAAAGGAATCTTCCACGAAAAAGCTCCGCCTCCATTACCACAGAAAAACGATACCTTAGGCCCCTAGCCTCATGAGCATAGCAAAAAGAACGGAACATAAGCGTTAGTTTCGATAATACTAATCCTACACACAAGACAAAATGATCACTCTTTCCGTGGAAGATTCCTTTAAGGTATCGTTTTCTGTGGTAATGAGGGCGGAGCTTTTTCCGTGGAAGATTCCTTGTAATGAATTAAGAGGGTCCCTTCCGCCTTATAAGGATGGGAAATGTGTAGAAGGAGGCCAAGCTCTGACCACGCCAAGAGCACTGTCTAATTATTGAGCTTAGAATACTCGAACCGAAACCAGGAAACGGTCACACATTAAGCGTGAGGAATGAAATCTATTAGCTCTAAAAATGACGCTATAAGAGGCAGCCCGTGACAACGTACGTCACAATCGCATTCTTTTTGCAAATGAGGCATTCACACCGATGGGCCCGCAATAGAACATCTAAATGACAGGATTCTGTGTTCCCATTATTGGGAACGGCTTCTTGAGACTTCCACGCAGAGTTCACTCGACGCTGCTAGTCTAGAGGCAGGCGTATTGATGGTAGAACTTGGCCCCTTCAAACGATTGTGTCAAGCTCTCTCCTTTCTCATGGCTAACCCTCCAATTTTCACCATATCCATTTTGCTCTACCGGTACTCCGGGCAGGTTCTTAAAGCAGGTTTGATTAGAAGGGTGAAAAGTAGGGACACGAGAGGTGTATGACCTTACACCCGTGAGGCCTCGCTGAGCTCGGGTTCCTAATGAGGAAATTATTCCTAGAGGGGGACATCCAATGTAATAATTATTTTTTACGCAGCTAGTTTGAAAAATTAATTCAGAACTGGCTCAGTTTGTCTCCTATGCTGAACTCTGAAGATGTTTCATGAAATTGTCTTCTATTGAACTCTGAAGATGATTTAGACAACTTATGATTTTCATTCAAAACAAAGATCGGAGAAAGGCGAATTTGATTGGTAGTCTGTACCGCTAGCTCAACGCCGGCCCTGACGCTTTCGCATCGCCCACGGAATCTGGGTGGTTTCGCTTACACAGCCTTTCCTCCATTTTCCTCTTGTTCACGTACTCCTTCGTGTGGTTCCTACTGTTAGCTTTACGAAACGCCCTTACGTCGAAGGTCTTATTTTGTTCGAAGCGCGAAAAAGAACGTTAAAGAGGAAAAAAGCAAAAAGCGAGAGAGAAAACTGAAATTTTTTGTGAGATTGACCATGCCACCATGGAGAGACCCAGTGCAAGGTGAGCGGAAACGCGAGAGAGTAGTGGCCACCGAGAGGGCGCAGACGCCAGGTATGCTGCAGATGGCAGCGATAGCAGCGGTCGCAGCGGTCAGTCAGAGGCATTAGCTTCCTTGTCGTGAACATTCCAATCGTGACGGTATCCCCACTCATGTGATTAGAGGTCCTGCCACCTCACTCAAGGAGAGCACTGCTTAAACCATGATGATCGTTCATGAAGCTTCAGCCCCGGAGGTGATCAAATGCACGATCTCCTCTTGAACGATTACCCCTGTTCATCAAAACGAGACGGGAATAAAGCCATGGTCTGCTATCTACTGTCTGTGATGAAAATAAGCAGCCGCTGTAAACTCTTTTGCTTGGCCGGCTCATCCCTAGCTTTGACACCACTTCAATCCCTGGTCGTTGATTTCTTAGAGCATGGAAACAAACAAACTAAGAAACGTTAAGCATGAAGTCATAAACGAGTATACCAAAAAATCAATACGCATCAAAATCATTTCGAAAAAAAATTGGACAAACCTCGACCACTTCACGGTTGATCTCTTGCACAGCGTCCGCTTTATTGCCCGGACATTTCCACACAACCTCTTCGTGACATCGTTTATGTACAACCACAGTGCAAACTAGAAGGCAATCATTTTAAAAACAAAAACAGTTCTCGAAGTAGTTAGATATGATAGGAAATACAACATTTTTAGGGGGAAAGACAGAAACATAGTGATGACCTCTTGTTAATGTTGATATTAGGGTAGGAATGGCTATTA